CCCCCATCCCCCCACACCCCAGCATACAAGTGGTTCCCTACTCAACCCCCCCGCCCCCAAAGTGAAACCTACTAGTTAACAGGCTTCCCCGCTGGGAACACAGTTTTAGGTAGTTTTCCACCGCCTTGGTCGTAGATGTGAAGAGCCAGCCAAGGATCACCAGAGAGTTGGAAAAATAACAAAACATGAAAGACAAAGAGAAGAAACGATCCCAGAGGAAACACCAAGGAATCGAAAAGAAGCTAACAAAGTAACATTGTCATCCAACAAGGGATGCATCATCCACAAACATGAAAACGCCATCTTTCCAAAGCTCTTGGACATTAAAAACGTGATTGCTAAAAATTAAACATTTGACAGGATTGGAAGAAAATTCTGAAAAGCTCTATATGGAATCAAAAGACAAAGAAAATTATTGTTTTAAAAGAAGAGACACAGACTAATAAATCAGGGGGTCTACCACCTAACAAGCATCCTAGAAACAGAACAGAGAAAATTAGAGGAAATCATCAAGGAAACGTTTTCACAGAGCTAAGGACCAGGAAGCTGCTCAAACGCAAAGGTCTCAGCTGTGGCCGAGCACACGAAAACACAGAAAATAAAAATAACCAGCTTTTGGTTTCACTGATATTCTGTTTTCTAGTCTCTATTTTGTTACTCTTGACTCTACTCTTGATTGTTTCCTTCCTTTTACTGGCTTTGGGTTGAGTTTGCTTTCTTTTTTTAGCTCCTTAAGGTGGAAAGTTAGGGTCTTGATGTGAAACTTTTCACTGCTACCAATTTCCTGTGGGGCTCTGCCCATGTTTGCTGCACGTTCTCCTCTTTGTGTTTCCTCCTTGCCTCTGGGAGTTCTTCTTTGACTCATTTGGTTGAGTGTATGTTCTTAAATTTCCACTGTGAATTTTTCGGTTTTCCTTCTGTTACTGATTTCTAGCATCATGCCATTGTGATCAAAGGTACTCTGTAGGATTTCAGTATTTAAAAAAACTTTTTCTTAATGTTTATTTTTGAGAGACAAAGTGCGAGCTGGGGAGGGCAGAGAGAGAGAGGGAGACACAGAATCCGAAGCAGGCTCCGGGCTACGAGCTGTCAGCACAGAGCCCGACGCGGGGCTCAAACTCATAGACCCCGAGGCCATGATCTGAGCCCAAGTGGGACGCTCAACTGACTGAGCCACCCAGGAGCCCCTGGTTTTCAATATTTTTAAATCTGAGACTGGTTTTGTGACCGAACATAGGGTCTGTCCTGGAGAATGTCCCATGTATGCGTGAAAAGAGCGTGTATTCTACTATTTTGGGGTGAAGGGTTCCACAGATGTCTGTTAAGTCTGGCTGGTTTATAGTGTTGATCAAGTTTTCAATCTCCTTACTGATCTTGCATCTAAATGTTCTATGAATCATTGAAAGTTGGGTATTGAAGACTCCCAACTGTTATCGTAGAACTACGTCTCCCTTCAAATCCATCAGCATTTGTTTCATATATTTGGGGGCTCTGTTGTTTGGTGAGTACATATTTAAAATTATTATATCCCTTGGTGACTTGACCCTTTTATCCATACATAAAGCCCTTTGTCTCCTGTAATAATTTTTGACTTAGTCTATTTTGTGACATTAGAATATCTTTTTCCATTCTTTCACTTTCAACCTACTTGTATTTTTGGATCTAAAGTGAGTGACCTCTAGACAGCATATATGACCTTGAGTTAGGCAAAAGACTTCTTCTTCTTCTTCTTTTTTATATTTATTTTTGAGAGAGAGAGAGAGAATGAGCAGGGGACGAGCAGAGAGGGAGACAGAGGTCCAAAAGGGGCTCCACATTGTCAGCGCGGAGCCCTATGCAGGGTTCGAAATCGCGAACCATGAGATCATGACCTGAGCCAAAATCGAGCCAGATGCATAACTGACTGAGCCACCCAGGTGGCCCTAAATCACCAAACTGTATTCTTAGAACAGGTGAACTTTATGGTCTATAAATTATATCTCAGGGTGCCTGGGTGGCTCAGTCAGTTAAGCGTCCGACGTCAGCTCAGGTCATGATCTCATGGTTTGTGAGTTCAAGCCCCACGTTGGGCTCTGTGCTGACAGTGCAGAGCCTGGAGCCTGCTTCGGAGTCTGTGTCTCCCTCTCTCTCTCTCTCTCTCAAAAGTAAACAAGCATTTTAAAAAATTGTACCTCAGTAAAGTCATTTCAATAAAAACCATATGTATGTAGACCTTTGACAAAAATAAAACAAAATCAGACCAAGAAGCCTCTAAGGAAGACAGAATGATGCTGTGCATAAAGGTGATAACAACTTACTTTCCCTCTTGGGTAGATTCTAGAGGTGGATGCGATTCTAAGTGAAATTGTATCAGAAATTGCAAATTGATTCCCCATATTGTAGTAACTCCCCCTGCGGGCAGTACATGAAAACGCCATAGCTCTAATGTTGCATATTTAACACTCAGAGATGAGAAGTGGGATCTCATTGTGTTAACTTACGACTTCCTGTCTGTAGGCGAAAGTGAATGCCTTTTCATGTTTTGGGCCATTTACATTTATTCCTGTGGATTGACTAGCACCTATTACTTGGTCCATCTTTCATTAGCTGTCACATTCTTACTTGTGCTAGCTCTTTGTATATAAAGGATATGTATTGAAATCTTTTCTCCCAGTTTGTTGTTTTCCCAGGGGTCTTTTTTGTCTTTTTTTTGTTTGTTTGTTTTTTAATGAGCTTTGTCCATAAGTATTTAAAAATTTTTACTTTGGTCAAATCTGTACATACTTCTTTAGGGTTTACAAGCTTCCTACTTTTGTTTAGAAGGCTCTCCTGAAGTTATTTTCCTTTATTACTTTCATTGGTTAAAAAATTTTTTAATTTGAATTGTATTCAATCTGAAGTTCATATTTGAGATTGTATTTGTTGCCATTTTTTAAAATTTTATTTATTTTTAAAAAAATTCAATATTTATTTATCTTTGAAGGAGAGAGACAGACAGAGGTTGACCTGGGGAGGAGCAGAGAGAGAGGGAGACACAGAATCCGAAGCAGGCTCCAGGCTCTGAGCTGTCAGCACAGAGCCCGACACGGGGCTCGAACTCACAAGCTGTGAAATCACGACCTGAGCCGCAGTAGGACGCCTAACCGACTGAGCCACCCAGGTGCCCTTATTTATTTTTTAATTTACACCCAATATAGCGCAATAATGATTTTAGTAGATTCCAGTGATTCATCCCCTGTGTATGACAACCAGTGCTCATCCCAACAATTGTCTTCCTTAATGCCCCTTGCCCAGTTAGCCCATCCCCCCTCCCACAACCCGTCTTTGCTGTCATTTCTTTAATGCATCCTTTTCCCAATGACATGAAATGCCACTTTTAGCCCATGTCAAGCTCCTGTGTGCATGTAGGTCGCGTCTATTTCTGAAACGCCCAGTCCATTTTCCTTCTGTCTTTGTTCATTCCCATGACAGGATCACATACTTTGACTACAGCAGCGTTATGATGTCTTTAACATCTGGTGGGGAAACACCTCTCAACACATTCTTTTCTCAAAAATATCTTAGGAATTCTTGCACATTCATTTTCCACCAAAGCTTCAGCGCAGCTTTGCCCGGTAGACAACCCCCTGGCAATTCTGACCGGAACGGCATTAAATTCGCATACTCATTTGTGGAGGGCATTTGGCTACATCAGTCAGTTAATATATAAAAAGTATATACTAAATAGGCCATCTCCCCGTGGAAACTTCTTGTTCTGCCGTCTAGTTACCTTCTACTGAGCTTTGAGATCTGGAGTGCACTTTTCTGTTTTAGTTTTTCCGTTTCCCCATTAGGCCCCCTTAAGCGTTTTGGCCTAATGCTTTCCTTTTAGAGGAAACATATTTTGGTTATTTGGTGGGGTCTCCTCCAACTTCTTGCCAACCTCATCAGCCTCGCCAGCCCCTCACTCATTTTGTTCCTCCAACTTTCCAAGTGTTTCCAGCCTCCAGGCCTTTGCATGGCCCTCTGACTACTCATCCTTTTGGTCTGTTTGAATGCTATTTCTGCTAAAGGCCTTCTCTGACCCTTTCCAGACTTACATTAAGTTCTGTTTCTGTTTCACGGCACCCTGCACTTTCCCATCATAGCACATATCCCTCGCAAGTATGTTTATCTGACATGCTGCCCCACGACAAAATACCCAACACCTAGCAGATTCTAGCATACACACTTGTTAGTGAAGACTTATTACTGGAATATAGTTAGCTGGGACTTCAAAGACTGAAATGTATCTGAAGAACAGAACCTCTCTCTTAACCAATTTAATTAGCAAACAGCTCACAGAGAGGAGAGAATCAATCAACCTAGTCAAAAAGGAGTCAATGTCTATCAACATCCATAGGAGATTGATGTTTTTTGGTAGGGGGGAAAAAATCAGTGATTCAGAGAATGAGGTTTTTTTTTTTTCTTTTTTAAAGTTTATTTATTTTTTTGGTAATCTCTACACCCAATGTGGGGCTCAAACTCATGACCCAAGATCAAGAGTCACATGCTCTTCCGGCTGAGCCAGCCAGGAGCCCCCAAGACAGTTTTGTGGGTTTTTTTTTTTTTAAGTTTATTTATTTATTTTTAAAGTAATCTCTTTGGTAAGTGAGTTCTTCACATCTGCCTCTGGACCATTACTAAAATTATGTTTCAATAAAGCAACGCTTACAGCCAAGATGAGAATGTGAACTTAAAAGCCTAATTTCAACTCAACCTAATTTGAAATTCAAGCAGGAAGATAAAGGGTTAGGAGAAATAAAAGCCCATCCAATTTCTGCTGAAAAAAATAAAAATTATTTATTGTATACGAAATATAAGTTATTTTTACATAAAAGCCATTATTGACCCATAACTGGCTTGTAAGATCATCTGTACGATCCTTTTTGTTTATTGAAACCAACAAGGCTGCCTCTCTCGTAGAACTTTCTGAACTAAGTATCAACGAAAGTATGTCTAGTGAAGACAAAAGAGGTTAATGTTCTTTTCTAAGATTCTGTTTTGATGTCTCCCCACCTCATCCCTACATTCTACAGGGAGAAAGCTGCTGCTTCTATATCCAAGTGTTGCTAGTACTTCTACAGAACAAAAACACAATACACAAACCATACTAGAAATATTTGGTTCATTTTAATCAGCTATTGATGGTATAATAAAATAAATTTAAGTGGCACCTAATTTAAACATTTAAAATAGTTCATCAGAGGATAATCTACAACACACTACGTGACGCCTAATTGTCAGAACAACACCTCTTTTTTTCCCAAGAAAGAAAAAAAATAAAGGCACAATCAAAATTATGACCAATAATTTGAATTCATTTGGACACTTATAGATGATTTTGTAGGCAAACCGGCAGGCACAATGTTGAAAAATCAATCCACTAGGTTTAGAAATAATGGTAAGATAAAAAAAACGACAGCTATACATTTCAGAGTTAATGCCTGAAATTAAAGAAAAATATCCACCAGTTAGCACAATGATCTTTTAATGACTAATTTTTTTTTTTTAACATAAAGATTGTTGTCTTAGGGAACGCCCTTCTCCAAACATTTAATTAAATGTTCAATGTATTAAATAATTTACAGAGAGAAGTAAGTTTTGTGTTCTGTACAAATTAAAGGACACACGAATATAACCCCCTCCCCCCCTGCCAAAGCTCAAATTTGCAATGGTCTCAGCAGAAACTAAACAGTTCACAAGTTAAACAGAACTTATAGCATTACAAAAGTTTACAGAACCCTTCTTTTCATCCTTTTTTTCTAACAGCAAAGATTACGACAAATTGAATGACCAGAATGTAAAAATATTTGTGCAAAACTGCATTAATTGTTCTTACCATTTAATAGAGGTAAAACCTAACAAAGCACAACGACAGTCATGAAGAAGAACTACACTGGAAGGAATTCTCTTAGATTTCGAACATGGATCGTACTAGGACTAAACACTGAAGGAAAACGTGGCACCGTGAGCAGGAGGAAAACGTGACTCGGCGACTCTGCCAGCGAAGGCGGCGGACCCTGGACCGCGCCGAAGTTTCTCTCCACACCAGCCAGCCGCCTTAAATGACTGGGAACACCTGCAGGGCTTGAAACTCACTCCAATGTCTTTATTCTCAAAACTCACTCCAATGTCTTTATGCTCGAAATTTGCAGATCATAAATGAAGTATTTCAGAAAGTCCTCTCCCCCCCCCTCCTTAAGGAGTGTTTCTTGTGTCACTGGAGGTCCTTAAAAGAGTTGAATCATAGATTCTCTGGATTTACCTACACCGATCCATTTAACTGGGATGGGGGAAAAATAGAAGAAGAGTATTAATTTGTTTATAATGTTCGATCCTTGGGATGAAAAGGTCCCCACTTCCCGGTGTCACTATTTAGCTTTGCCAGGTGTCTTTTGCTATCCGTGGCTGTCCTGACAGCAGACCGTGCTGATTTCTAAACAGAACGTGCAGTCAGCATCCAGCACAGGTGTGAGCCTTACCACTTCCAGTGTTAATCGCGGGGTATTTCCAAGTTGTCGATGCCTGATAATTAGGTCAGTAAGATACTGGCCCAAACCAGCAGAGACCGAAAGAACCCTTGATCAAGTCCCTAAGAACTAGATCAGCATCTGATAAATACAGGATGCTAGGAGGTTCTGCAAGTATCAGCATAACTTTTATATCTCAAGAAAGGAGAAGGGGCTGGAAGCAAATGCCATTTTAACTTGCAGAGCCCGGACCAACCTATAGGAACCTCTCAACATAGTACCACACCTTTATGGTCTTTTATACAAGTCACTGTCAAAGTCACTACTGCTTGTGTTTCAAAACAATGCTGGCTGAGAGCCACAGCAAACATGCTGACTTAACTCTGGCATCAGGCTGGTCAGGACAGCTAGCAATGTGGAAAACCAGACTTATATTTGAGAGGAGCAGAAGAGCAAAGAAAGCAATGTGTTAAAAAGAAAGACTTCCGGTAACTGGTCAGAGCCACTACTTGGTTATGCCTAACTCCCTGACCAGCTTAGATTTGTTTCTTAATGTGGGTTTATTCTTTGCTCTTCTTGTAGATCTTTTCAAATTGGATCGCCTATTTTCTGTACCTGTTATTCCCTAATTGTTCAAGAAACACCCCCAACTCCCAAGGGTGCTTTAACCCGGAATGGAAAGACTGCAAACCGTTTTTGGTGGAGGTGAAGACACAAAAGGGTTTGTTACTAAGAGGGAGAAAGCAGGGCGCCCGGGTGGCTCGGTCGGTTGAGCGTCCGACTTCAGCTCAGGTCATGATCTCACGGTTCGTGAGTTCGAGCCCCGCGTCAGACTCTGTGCCGACAGCTAGGAGCCTGGAGCCTGCTTCAGATTCTGTGCCTCCCTCCCTCTCTCTCTGCCCCTCCCCAGCTCATGCTCGCACTCTGTCTCTGTCAAAAATAAATAAACTTAAAAAAACAGAAAAACAAAAAAACTAAGAGGGAGAAAGCAACGAGCATAAGTGTAAAAGTGACCTGCTGTCTTCAGGCATCTGAAGGACCTAAAGAAAGGTGATTATATTTATCCTAAGAAATAAGATTATTTTGTATCTTCCTGGGCATTTATACAAATCATGAGCACTCTACAAATTAATAATGATCTTCCTCTAATCCCATCTCAAAGATACAGTCAAGTTAGAAGCAGAGAAAAAGTAGAGATGGCTCTTCATAAAGAGTTTATATTTACCTGGAATTTGAAGCTCATCTTCAATAAATCGAACGTAATTTTGTGCATTAACAGGGAGCTCTTTAAATGTCCTTGCATTTGATATGTCTGTGTTCCAACCTGGGAGAGTCTTGTATTGAACTTCAACTTTATTTAAGACTTCTTGGTTTGCTGCAAGTTAAAGAGGATGTATGCTTTCTCATGGTATAACACTGTCTATTGCTAAATAAGTGATTCGCTAGGTCATAGCTTCCTGATCTCTTCTCAAAACCCTTGGAGCCAGATGCGCTTTGAAATGCAGAAAAAAATGTTTTGTTTTGTTTTGTTTTCCTCCAGAGTTTAGGAAGGTCAAACAGTACATTTACCATTTGAGGCGGTATTTTTATGCTCAAACACATTCCTGCAGCCACCAGATTATTCACTCGAAGCAGACAGATGATTGGTTCTAAAATCAACTCAGGTCAGGTCTGACTTTGGTGCCGACCTTTCCAGATTTCCACACCGTGGATTAGAGGCTGCGGACCTGCATAAAGGCAGCAATCTCACAGAAAGGAGACTGGCGGACTCGTTCTCATCTGGGAAATCTATGATTTTGGTGACTGCACAAAAGCTTAGCTGGAAATTTTCTTCATGATCTCACCTAACCGTTTTCTCTGTACCCCCTGGTAGGAACTAAAAGCCTACGAAAGTAAGAACAGTTTCTTCGACCAGAGGCAGTACGGTGGCTGCTGTGGTGTACCATCCAGATTTCCCGCTTCCGGATGGAGGCCCTGCCCCCCCCTTCCCCCCCCCCTCCCCGCCCACTGCGGAAGCACCCCTGCTGAGGATCAGGTTCAGAATCTCCCCAGAGACCACCCTCCGCTGGAAGGAAGGAGCTGCCTCCCTGGAGCAGCGCGTATCCCACAACCGGGTCAACGTGGACCACAGGCAGCACAAAACTGCAGTTTCTGAGAAAAAGGAAACTCACGAGCAAGTCCTGAAAACAACTCCACCATCTGCCCAGGGACAATGTCCTGACGACTAAAGGTCAGGACACTGGAGTCAGAGGAGAACAATGGTCCCACTGACTGAGAAGGCAGATACCAGATTTCAGGGAGGTTGAAGCAGTGAGAATCACGGTCCAAGCGTCAGAAAGGAAGGAGCTATACAGAGAGCTCCCACCCCTCAGAGACCCTGTGAAAGTCCCCTGGCTAACATTCGTTCACCTTTACATGCTAAGACTGGGACCCCTGGAGGCTTACGGACAGCAGGGGCCACAGTTGAGTGCGACAGGTTCTAGAGTTCCAACAGTGCTGTCGGAAGGGAAGGGACAGACTACACTGAAGCTCCAGCCAGCACTGCCACATTGGAGAGATCTCTTTACACCCCAGTAACTCTCCTGGCAGCAGCCGAGACAGCAGAAACACTGCCTCATTTAAATAACGATGATCAGT